ATGCCATTGGACGTTGACGTGATTGCCCTGCGGTGCCTGGGGCCTTCGAAGAAGCCAAGCACGTGCACACCACCAAATCCCACAGGGTTCCACCGTCCAGCTGGAGCCCAAGAATGGTCAGAAGGCACGGACAAACAACAATGCGGTCACTATAATGCGGTCATTATGAAGCCCTTCAACCTCAATGTCCCGAATACTTTATCTAGATATATGTTATTCTCACAGTTATATTCTACTGTATACCCATGTTCAACCTCTTCTACCCCAAAGGCTCAGCAAGTGCGGCAAACATGTGGCAAGCCATGGTAAGCCTGCACGAAACATGCAACAGGTCAAGCACGAGACCAAAAAAGACATCTTCCACAAAAGTCGTTTCGGCTGATCCGCGGGTACGTATCAACATCCCTCAAGAATCTCCACCAACTTGGCCCACACTCCCCGGCACATCTGCAAAGATCTTCCAACTACCAGTTCGTCATCTGCCGTTCACAACACTTTTGTCCCCCCATGCGCAGTTGAATTCGCGGAACAATTGGCAGCGGCCTTCTCTTGGCCAAGGAAGATAAAGCCTCACCCCCTAATCGAAATTCAGCCAAAATCGACGAGGCGTGCTTAAATGGTGCTACCAGTCAAAGAAGAGCCCTCAAAGAATGTGTGCACATACCCCTTGCAACACTTCTTGGTTTAACGGGCAGTGGTCTCCAAAACTATCAAAAACTGATGCAATGTCTTCCACAAATGATTCGCCGGCTAGCGGCTAGCTGGCAGCCCCGCCGAATATGACCAGGTCTTGCAAGTGGGCCCTCAAAATCCACCAAAGAAATGGCAAGTCTCAGGATTCAGCCGCGGCTTTGAGGATCTTCACGTATTCGTCCATCAAGTGAAATTCGCAGAGCCTCCTTAGTTCAGCTGCCCGGGAATCATGTATGTTCGCACCGAGGAAAACATTGATCCCCGGGAGTCAAAGACAATAAAAAGAATGGTCAGTCTTTAGATGACCCGACAAAAGAACTCCCCTCACTTCAGTCGGTCAATATAATATATAGGGGTCCCCAAATAGATAGAAAAGACAGAAAAGTAGATCCCCACTAAGAAATGTATTGGAAATCGTTTCTATCTATTCGGTTATCACTATATATATATATAGTCTTTGGACTTAGACTTCTAGGGTTGGGCTTTTAGTGGCTTTTGCGTCGCATGACACTGGGCCAACTGCATCCAAGCATCCGTGCGCAGGTCCCATGTTCTTCCGGAGGAGGGCTGTACAATAGCCACTCTACTTCCCCCAAGCACGGCCCACATCGAATGGACGAAGAATGCGGCGCAACGAACGCCAAACGTCCAACCAGACCATAGCCGTGCCTGGTGACACATAGCCGTGTACAAGAAAAGCCGTGGTGCCACAACGCGTGGCACTACCAAATGCGACCGCTTTCATGCAAACCTACGTGCAACCCACATCTTTCTGGCCAAAACAAGTACCAGGTACCAAAACCGCCCACATGCCAAGTCCTACCTCACTACGGTCTAGCGTGCAAAAACTCAGAATAACTATGCCGGACTATGCACTGCAATTGTCATCAAATGCTCCGCCTCAGGCGCTTGAACTTGTCGATGGTGTCTTGGAGGTTGGGGCACACATGAATGAATCCAGCGAGGGGGACCCTAATCCTCCACACCAGCGTTGAGAGGCAACACCACATTTTCCACAAAAGAATGTAGTAGTGTCAGGAGGTGTCAAGAAAAGCGGCCGCCATGCTGCACGTTTGAAAGAAAACCCTTCAACTGCCTTGAACTCTTACAGCCATTGCAAGAATTGCCAAACAGCAGCGTGAAGCATCGTGAAGCTCATCTCCCGGCAAAAGCTTTTGGGGAGCGAAGAAATGAGGGTTTTCAAGGAAGCAGCCTGTTGGATGCAGGTGAGCTATGCAGCCCACAACAGTCTAATACTTAAGAAGCTCGGTCCTCGCCAGCAGCTCCAGCCACTCCAGGCAAGCTGGCAACCGTGGAACAGGATCCCAGGCATTCCTGGTCAGACACTCACGGGAAGATGTAGAAATGAATTTCGATCAGCCTAGATTCGATTGAACGAATGGCATTGAACATGGCCTTTTGGTATGTACATATGTAAAGGTAAGACCCAGCAGGAAACACAGCCGTTTGGCATATTCACTGCGCATTCTCCCCCTTCATGGTCGCCCAACAACGTGGAATCCACCAGTTTGAGAGCCTCTTCTTGGATCCTTTTTCTGTGCCAACTCCCTGTTACTCTGTTACCTTATTTTCCCCAAGGGAATTCTCAAACCAAGCTTCACATAAAGCGTGGTGATCTCGTCCAACCACCGGCACCCAGGGCTGCCCATGTCAGGCACCAAGACTTGCGGGGCACCGAAGGTCACGACCTGCGTGACTCGAAAGCCACGGTAGAGCAAGAAGAGGGCAGCCAGGATCGCGTAGCCTCCCCCAAGCGAATGGCCACACAAAATCACCTCCTTCGCGTTCTGCACAGAAACGCTCCCCAGGCATTCTTCTAGCTCATCTAGCACACTCTTGCCATCTGGAGGCTTGTGCTGCAACCCCCCTGAGATGCCATTGTGAACCCGCATGTCGCAGAAGCACCTGAGAGTCAGATCAAAATCGATCACCACATCCACGAAGTTGTCGGTCCCTTTGAAGGTCACATAGAAGGCATCCTCATCTTCCAGGACTGCCCACTGCACTGGTGTTGGATTCTCATCACCCATCCGCCTTAGCACGTGCAAGTGGATGTTCAGTAACCCTCCCAAACCTGTCAGCTCCTCTTGCCTCAGCTGGTACACCCACTTCGCCAAGTAGGCCGCTTTCAGGTGACCAGGATGGACACGCCCCGCCTCACCGACCATTTCGAAGGGGAACGGCGCGCCACGGTTGATCCTCGAGGCGGAGCCGCTCTCGCCAAGCTCGGAGCTCACTGCAACGGAGGAGGACTGCGAGGTGGAGGATCGACTTCCCAGGAGCAAGGGTTTCACCAAGGCAGCCACCGAGGTCAGAAGCGCGTTGGGGATCTTCAGCACCTCAGGTGATGAAGAAGAAAGAAGAAGAAGAAGAAGAAGAGCAAGAAGAGCAAGAAGAGAAGCTGATGTGCTGGGATATGAGTCAATGAGGCTAACTGCATGCAACTCGAGTTTAAGACCTATAGTTTGTAGGAGAACCTGGCTCCTGCACCTCCAATGCCAAAATGTCCCAACGTGTCCCTAACCCTAGATGGCTCACCTTCAGATGTGGATCGGAATGAGGGACACAAGCGTTGTACACCGCCTGCGCGGCATGGTGACAATTGCTTCTTGTCAAGTCGTACTTGCCGGTGCTCATTGCCACCTCCCATAGCTTTTTCATGGTCAAAGCCGCCCCGACGCTGTTCAATGTGTGCAGTGCTGGCCTTGGAGCTTGCTGTTCCACAGCCAACCACAAGATATCTTTTGCTTGCCGTTTCCCCACTACAAAACGACAGGCAAGAACAAGAACAATATGGATGGCTCAAGCCAAAAGGCAGAGTGATCATTGAAGTCACTTCAGACCAACAAGAGATGTAAATGCCATTCTGACACTCTTCACGTGCATCTTCACGTTGCGATGCAGCTTTCTCCAGCACATATGTCCAGGATGACTGGCTTTGACCGTTGCGAACGGTGATCGCGAGCAGGGAATGAATCCCTCCCAACCGTCCAGGTACACCATCTAACCTGATCAAACTGTACAGAAAGCTGTGCTCATGGAGAAGTATATAAGATTGGGCTTGAACACGTTGAGGACAGATCAAGACTAAGTCTCAAATCACTCTAAATGACGTTAAGCAAAAGGCTTGGTAGGGAGAGGGAACATGGAAGGATACAGTACAGCGTGTACAATGTACATTGTCATCAGCACTTCCCAAATCAATGCATTTTTGTAAACAAGCCACTCAATTTGATGCCACTGCACTTTGACCACAGCACTCTCATCCTGCATCGCCTCATAATAAGCGGCGCCCGATCCACCGCGGGTGTTGACCAAACGGAGGTGCTGGCGAAACCAACTTGCCACTGTATGATGACCATTCCTGATCGCATGCTCCTCGGGCGTCAATCCAGACCGATCCTGCCAGGGGCCCCATGCGGCACAAAGGGTTGGACAAAGGAGGGGATCAATGGTTGAACTCTTCAACAACCGCCGCTTCCATTGACAATGGGCAGCTTTCAATGCCGTCCTGTTCATGGGGTATATCACTATGCTTCTTCTAAGGGTATTGAGCCATCCCTATGTCAGAATCATGGCGGGCTTTCCGCACGGCTTCCCTCTCCATCCTCTCCTTCACACGCAGTGGATGGCCATTGTTGACCAAGACTTCACAGACCTCATGATTGCCGGCCCTGGCCGCGGCGTGGAGCAACTCATGGCGGTTCGGAGGCCAGCTGCATCCGCATGCCTTCTTGAGTAGTTGGCCCAGGAGTTCAAGGGTGTCGCTTGACATCAAAGATGGCACGAGGTGCGATAGGAGCTGGTTTGCATGCCTGGGCACGAATGGATGAGCAAAAAGAAAGCACGCTGAAACTTACCTTGGACTTAGACCATGAGGCTAGCGTTTCGGCTCATTCTATCACTTTCCGAACCCCCAGCCCCCTACCAGAGTGATTTCCCAAGTAACCCTTACCATCTTAGGATCTTTCACCACCCACACACGCCACGTTATTGAGAAGCAGAACCAGAACTAACGTTGCCCGAGCCACTGGGACCCGAGGGAGTCCACTTGCAGTGTGAGAGCGTCCAAAATCTGTTGTGGCCACGTCCCCCTGGAGCTGCACACGCGGAGCGCCGCTGCGGCCCAAGGGTCGAGACGCGTCCAGGCGCCGAAGGCCTCCGCGGTCTCGGCGCCTGAAAGGTGGCACGGGGCGAGTGTGCTGCAGGCCGCCTGCCAGACTAGCTCACAAGGATCCTCCAAGAGCCTTTCCAGCTTTGGACCGTATGGGCGAAGCATTGCGGGTGCCCAGAGGCCCATGATGGAACACGCGGCTGCTCGGACTTCGGGATCATCCCCATGGTCCAAGAGGCTGGGAACATCAACGAACTGTTCAGCGACGTCTGAACCAAGAGGGGGTACCTTCATTGATAAGGACTTGATGTGAGGGACCAACAAGTGTCCCGGCAGCTTGGCCATGAGGACACAAGCAATCCATTGCAGTGGCTCCACTTCCAAAAACTGTGCCACTAAGGCAATATGGGGGCCAACCATCTCTGAGGGCCACATGGTCATGATGGAACAGGCTGCCTCCCGCACCGCCAGTTGGCCATGCTGCAGCCAGCCGCTGATGCCATGAAACTCCTGGGCCAAGCTTGGAAAGCCATGAAGGGCATTGGAGATCTGCACTGCGTGCCTCACCATCACATCCTGTGGCAACCGAGCCACGGCTCTGCAAGCTGCCATCCTCACACCTTCATCATCATCTTGCATCAGTTGCTCTAGTTTTGGGGCACGTGCAGCGAGAGCACGTGGTGCAAGCGCACCTTGTGGCAGCTTGGCTGCCGCCAAGCATGCCTCCTGGCGCACCTCATATTGCAAATCATCCAGCATTGACGCCAATCGGCCAGCATGTGGAAGAAGGGCGTTGGCTGGCAAGTGGCCCAAAGCAAAGCATGCGCTGGCTCGAACCGAGGAATTCCAATCCTGCAGGAGTCCAGTCAATAGCTTCTCATGGTTTGTGAGCACAGACCCTGGCATCTTCACAATGGCCCTGCAGGCAGCGGCACGCACAAGGTCCTGCTGGTGAGACAAAGCTTTCACCCATCCTGAATGGGACCATCTGTGTACGATGGAGATGGTCGCCCTCTGAACTTCTGGATCCTGCGCCTCGGCGAAGCTCACGATGTCCACAAATTCTTCAGCAACCTCTGAAGGCAAACGAAGCATGCTCTCGGATAGCCTTTGGAGGTGGGTGACCAAGAGGTTCTGCGGCAGCTTTGCCATGATGGTGCATGCAGCCTCTTCCAACTCCTCCACTTCCAAAAGCTTTCCCAACCTGCTGGCATGTGGAGCAATGGCCTCTGAAGATAGTTTGCTCAAAGCTTGGCAAGCGACCTTCCGCACTGAGCAGTCTTGATGCACCAGCAGGTCTGCCAGCACATCCACGTGAGATTCCAGTGATGCTGCAGGCAACCTGGCGAGGGCCGAGGAAGCCGCCTTCCGCACAAAACCACTCTCATCGGCCAAAAGATGCAGCAATGCTGGCAGAACATCGGCCACGGCGCTTGCAGGAAGCTTCGCTCGAAGAATCCACTCACATGCCGCGCTCCTCACGTAAGAATCCTCGTCTTCGAGGAAGGCCTTCACCGCGTCGACCGCGCCGGGCTCCGTTGCGCGGAGGCCTCGGCACCTCTGCACCCGCGCGGGCACACCGAGCATGGGGCCTCAGTCGCAAAAGCGAGCGACCGTCCCAACGACCTTTTTGAACTCAAAAGACGTACATTGTAGGTCTCACCAGACTTTTGCTCTGAAACTTGAGCACGGTATACATGGCCCTTGGTAGTGCCTGGTTTCTTGGCATAGTTCGTCTGCATGTCCGTCTGAACGTCTATGGTTCCACGCTGGAGGTGCCCGCAGCAGCGTGCCTGCAGACTTGCAGGTGGCAACCTCTTACAGTATATAAGTTCTATATAAGTTATATAAGTTGGTATGATATATGGTATGACATAATAGTCACTCAAACCAACCACAGCACACCAATCTCTAGAACCAATCCTACACGTTCCAAAAAACCTGAACATTGAGCTGCATGGTTGAGACACCGTCTTGGGAAGAGTGGGCCAACTACCCCGACAATCCCCAGAGCTTCCACTGAGCTCATGTTGTTGATTCTTTTCTGATGCTTCAGGAGCCTCTTAGATCCTCTTATACTATACCCGTCACCTGAAGATAGTCCAGCCTCGAGTCAAACCAGGAGGAGGACACCGAAGTGTCCCGCCCGTGTCCCACCGGCCCCGCTGGAGCCAAAGATGAAGCAGGAGAGTGCTTCCACCGCCGCACACTGCAGGTTGCCCCAGCACCACAAATGCTTAGGGTATTCAGCATGAACTGGCAAAAAGACCTACAGTATATATTTTTGTTTGGCTTTCAAGGAGTGGCGTCTCTTTCGCTCGGGCGGTATCGTCTTTTTCGCGCGGGCGACAGTGACCCTGGGCTGTCAGCACGACAGCCTGTATGTACACTTCCTCCAATACAATATGAACCCGCCTCCGCTGGCAAGCAACATTCCGCAACATGAAACAAGGCGTTAGCAGCGCCAGAACAAATGAAGTCTTTTTCACCTTCCACTCTACACTACACCTTCGGTTCTTTTTGTTGCCTCTCTCCCCGGTCGCTACCCGGGTCCTCACAGGAGCTCCGTCTCGGCCGCAATCTCCACCGAGCTGCCCGTGTCCTTCTCCCAGATCCGCAGCTTCCGCGCGGGAGCCGCCGCCGCGGCTGCCACGAGCTCCACGCGCTGCACGCCGCGGAAGTGCGACGGGATGGAGAGGAGGAAGCTGCAGAAGGACTTCCGTGTGGAGGAGGGCGCAGCATCCAGGTGCTCAAAGGTGGGTAAGTCGAAAATCCTGAAGACCACTGAAAGCGGCTGACGCAAGGATATGTTGTCACCCACCCAGCAACCCAAAATTACCATACGACACTTACACCACAATCACAACGCGGGGTGCGTCATCTCTGCAGATGGAAAAGGGGTTGATCCACAAGATTGTGACGTGAAGCATGAAAAGTTCAATCCCATGGGGAAGTTCTGGCAGCCTCACAGGTCTTGCTGATGCTGACCCTCCCTCCCTCTCTCTCCCTTTTGAATTGTCCGTTTTTGACCTCCGGACATGGGCGGGTCCTCCTCGTCAACTCAGAGGTTTTGGAACCCTTAAGGCAGGACCCTCGAAGATCCTATTTGTAGGATCTTGTTGGAAATGACAGGGGGCATAGACTCTGGACCGGCCAAAGAACTCCTCACGCTCACGTAGAAAAATCGTGTGAACCCCTCTCTCTTCTGGTGAGCCTTCTGTGGATCCACTCTCTTAGGGCTGGAAACCACTTCCCGGCACAAATCCCCGGCACGGATGTGAAGCGTCCTGGGATGCTTCGTCAGGATGGGAAAGGGCTGATGAAGTCCCGTGGTGCCAAACTCGAGCCCTCGCGCCCTTGGACGCTGGTCACCGTCAACCTCGGAGGAGCACCAAAGCGAGACCCAGGGGTACTCCGCGCGCGGCCACACATAGCCTCGGCAGGAAGTTCAGCTGAGAGTGTGAAGCAGGGGTGGTGCAGCAGGTCATGAAGTAGAGTACAGCAACCAGGAACTACTCATGATGTAGGAACTATGGCATGTGTGACTATGTGCTAGACACAGCACCGGTCAAGCACGCATTAGTTCACGGACACTACAGCAATTCACAGAAAATGGTGTGAAGAGGAAACTTGCTGTGGAAATCACAAGCTCCAAAAGCATGGTCGAAAAAAACTTGTGCAAGTGTTCCATATGTTGTCTCTACGCACCCCTTTCTGAATATCATCAACTGCCCATTGCCAACCTTTGCTCCTTTCATGTCAAAAGAAGTGATCCTCACATGCCACCCAAGTCACCAAGCAAAAGTCCTTGACTCGGGGTAGAGGCGCAAACCTCGCAAACGCGATCTTTGGACGGTCTTCACTCTGTGTCTCTCCCTCTCCCTCCCTCCCTCTCTCTCTCTACAATTCTTTTAAACAACAATCTACATGTCAAGGATCTTTTGAACACAAAGCACCCCCTCTCTCGCCACCACTCGTGCACTTGGACCACCCTCCCTGCCAAGTCACCCAGCCATAGGTCTCCTTCGGATCCACTTCATAGCTGAAGACATCATCAGCACCTCCCGTCATCCCGTGCGCATCTCGCACGCCGTCACGGGCCGTCACGGCCGCCGGAAACTCCCGCGGAGCATGCCACAGGACCTCCGCGCAGCCGCGCGGCCCCTGCGTGAAGCCCCGCTTCCCATTGCAGTCCACGCGGGTCTCCGCAGAAAGAAAGGGCGCGGCGATGCTGGGATGTTGGACCATGTTGAAGATCCGCCCCAGCTGGTTGATGTTTTTCACCTGCGTCATTGTTCTGCAGTGCAGTTCAATTAACTAATCATGAATCATAGAATCATAACTATATATTTTATATAATGTGTGTGTGTGTGGCAACCCAGCAATGAAAAGTTTTCTTGCATGTCTCCCTCCATCTTCCACCCCCCGCCTCATCCTGCACCTTCAACACCGCCGCCAGCACCGCAGCGCCGCCCTGCGGCGCGTCGACGGCCCGTCGCGCCGCCTGGCATTTCACCAGTTCCAGGCGCCGTTCGACGGCCAGGCCAGCCATGGGCAGCTGGGCCTCCAAACGCACCACAGGCGAGTCCAACTCCACGACGTGCCAGTGCCGACTGGAGGCCTGAAGGGGTGAGCAATCCAAAGCCTTTGGAGGTGGGGAGGTTGGGTTTGCATTGAGGGGATCTTTTGATGGCTGATGGCCAGTGGCTGGGGCTCCTCCCATGTCCATCCAGGCCACAGCAAGATCAGCCAGAAAATTACGTTGAAGTTGCCACTCGCTCGAAGTGCCTGGCCTCCCCATGGTAGGGCATCCCCTGCGCCTCCTCCGCCACGGAGGGCGGACCCCAACGATCCAGGCATAAAAAATGCCCCAGCGGCCTGACGGCGCTTGAAGAAGGCGCGAGGGCTTGAAGAATCCATCGGCTCAGCCGACCAAACTTAGAAAGTTGGAGCCACTTAACTTAGAATCACCAGATGTTGCTAGATGTGTCACTAGATATGAATCTGAGCAGCCTCTCCCACCACATGATTAATGTCCAACAACTTGGTCACCTTCCACCCAGCCTGGGAGCCGTTTTCTCCACATCTTGCTGATCGTGCACGGCCGAGTCCCAGCTCAAGGGGTTCACCCCATCGCCCAGCACGAAGGACGCGATCGACCCGCCCGCGGCGTCGATCGCCACGGCCGCCGCGTCGTTCCGCAGGGTGATCCAGGGCCGCGTGGCGCGGCGCGGCTTCTTCGAGCCCTCCATGAGTGGCGAGAAAACGGCCTACCCGGCCTACCCTGGTAGTGATGTCATGCGCAGTGATGTCATGATGAGCGCAAGGGCCTAAGGTTTGCATTGCTTTGATGCTGCTGGGGCACCGTCCGGGGGCGCACCCAAAAACAAAAGTAAGACCTGCATTCCAAGACGAAAGTTGACCAAAATAATGACTCTAGACGCGACAGTTTCACTTCATTGAATGTTTCAAGTTTTATTGAGTCCTTTCACACAATGAGAAAAGAATAAGGGCCTAAAAATATATTTGTCTTATTCATGTTTAATCATTGGAACCCTCTTTTGCCTGAAGTCTCCATTTTCATAATTCTACCAGACCCCTTGTTGCTCTTCAAGTTGTCCCTGTGGCGCCAAACCCCTGCAGCCACGCACTGCAAAACATAACATCCTCAATAGGCTCAAAAAGACTGGACATGAGACGTGACATGACATGTCTACGTCAAAAAAGTATTGGGCAAAGGACGCGCGTCCATTTCCTCAAGCGATCTCCGGTTCAGCAAAGGCATTGGTTATAAGCGCATTGGCTTGCAGCATGCACGTGGTGCACTGCCACTGCCGCCCACTGATGGGTCACGCGGCCGCCAATGAAAACATGACATTCGGGCATCTCCGCTTCATCTCTGCAAACCTCCCCGTGCCCTATGATTCTGTTCGTTGTACATGAGTGTTGTTGGTTGTTGATGCAACCGTGTCAGCCCGCTACCGCCTGGCAAGGTGGAGCACTTGTAGATCACACCTGTCACCGGCAAGGTCAATTCTGCCCATCATCAATGTCAAAAGATGCGGCGGGCAATCACAGACAGCCTGATTGAAGGGTCGATTGGTATGATCAAGGTCCACTGATGCGATTTCCAGCTGGGCCCATGCAGCAGTTCATGCGCGGACCTCATTGTTCGCAAACCATGGTGGAATCATAGGATCCAGAATCGCTGCCTGGAACTACCCACCAAGCGCAAACCGCGTGAAACATTTTCTGGTTGGATTAAGACGGCCGCAGGTTGGACGCCAAACATGAACAAAATTCACAACAAATTTTCCCCGTGTACAAGGTTGAATTTTGTGGGCGAATGTTGCCTGTCCAATAATCCAATCCAACCAGAAGATTGCCCTGTTCTGTTTGCAGCCGACTTGGGCTTCCTACTTTGCCACCTTCTTCTCGGTAGATCCTTCGCTTGAAGCGCCACTCAGTAGCCAAATTGCGTCAACATGCCTCACATGGCAAAGCGCTGCACCAAACACGGCTACGATCCAAGATTGGGCCGCAACAATTGCCGCAAAAGTTGTACAATAGTAATACATTTCATCTGATTGTTACCCACACCTTCATTCTCATGCCCACATGTATGGCCTGAGTACGCACCAGGTCCTGGCGTATCGCCCGCGTTCCTGCCAAGCCAAAAAGTGCAAGTTTCAGGCTTGCCAAGGCGCAAAAGCCTCTGAACACATGAACACCGGCCCTCTTTTAATGGAACAGTGTGGCTTTGCGAGACCTTTGGAACAGGTTCCACGGTTTGGAACAGCCACCGGCGAGCGGAAACGTATTCCGCGCACGGGAGTGAACCAGACTTTCCAACGTGGGCGCGGCCCCGATGTCGGAAACATTTGGGCGCAGCTCAACAATGCCGCCATATGTCAAGTAATTACATGCTTACAATGAGACCAGCATGGTTTGATCTTTAAGAAGAACATATGACTTGCGGACATCCCAACGGCGGCACCGTGGCAGGAACAAAAGTAGGAGAAAATCAGAGACGTGCTGGGGCACATGCAACGAGCCTGCTAGAGAACGAGGCTTTGGGAAACAGCGAGGCTGCACAGAAGCATAGCATCCCTGTTGGCATTGCAGGTGCGGGGAGTTTTCCTCCTGAACTGGAACCTGTCCAACTTGTGGTCCGAGGTTTTGCATGTTACTTGGTTCCATGGGGTGGGTATGCCGTGTATACCGATGAGAGGCGCAGCGGGCGGGGGCCCTTCACAAGTTGGAAGTTGAAATCAATTTCATTGTGACATGCCAATTTTGGTTAAGAAGCGTGTCTGCCTCGTAGGAGACAGTCATGACCATCCATGTACTTGTACAGCTTGACTGAACCGCAACCATACAGGCTCCATTTTGTGAGTGATAAAAGGCACGCATTCCGCCACATGGTACTACATCGTGGACGAGGAGGACGAGATCGAGTTGGCTGGGACTTTGGATCCTGTGCCTGCTGGCACTTGGCCACGTGAGCGGCCACGTGGTGCTGGCAGAAGTGCTGCAACATAGAGAACACAGAGCCCACCAGGGGGAGAGACACAAAGTCAGGCACTACCACGGCCTGGAGCTGTGTTTGGGTGAGAGATCACCCATTCGAATTCGAAGGAAGAAGGAGAAAAGCAGCAAACCAGAGATCCAATTCATTGAACAGTCCCAGATAGTGGAAGTCCAAGTACCAGAAGCTTGGAGGCTGCAAGCAATTCAAGATTTACAAGGCTGAGCCAGAACCTCGAAAGCGGTTCACGGTCTTCAGGAGGTGTGGATTGAAGTGGTTGATTGAAAAGAAAGGAAGTGAACAAATTGTTTGGTTGGAGGAAAAAGGCCACCTGACCTATATAGGACACTGGACAATGGCGGAACATGAACAGTCATTGCAGCAGCTGGTACAAGTCCAGCAAAACCAACAATGGAACAAGCGCATCTAAAACCCAGAAGTGTTCAAACCAACCACAAGAGAAGAAGAACTGCGCCAATGGCCTGACTGGCGATTTGGTTTCATGCAGTTTGTGAAGGCAGTAGGGCCCAAGACTGCCGAGTTCCTCGAGACGATCAACAAGCACCCCAATGGGAACTATGAGATGAGCGAGATGGACGAGGACACGCAGGCCCTGAGCGTGAACTTCTATGGAGTGCTGGTCTCCTACATGAAGAATAGGCCTTTTTTGTCACTCATTCGCCATTTGAGTGACTTCAATGGCTTCAAAGGATGGAGCTTGCTGGTGAAGGACATGGAACCGTCTACAACACAAAGAAGTCTTGCCTTTTTGACACAACTCAGAAAAGTGGAATTCTCCACAAACAGAACAATCACAGAGCAAATACCAGCATATGAAAGCCTCGTGCGAGAGTATGAGCTCATGTCAGGCAACTCATTCCCACAGGATAGAATGATAGGATCGATCTGGTTGGCTTTACCAATGGCCCTGAGAACACAATGGCAAATGCAAATCACAGAAGAAACGACGTATGAACAGCTCAAGAACAAGATCATGCACTACGAGAGCATCAGAACACGATGGGATTCGACGAACCCGCTGCAAATGCCAACCAGGACATCAAATGATGAAGCCGTGCCCATGGAAGTGGACATGGTGATGAAAGGTAAGAACGGCAAGGGGGAGATAAAAAATGATGGCAAGAGCAAACAGTTCTCCTTCAAGGCGAAAGGTAAGTCAGAGAAAGGAAAGTCCAAGAGGAAGGATAACTTGGAAAACCAGACATGACATCATGACAACACCTATGACAACTACAGAGTTGTTTGGCCTCACTGAAGGTCAGGAGGTCAAAGAATGCTTCGAGCACGGGGGCTGGATCTACATGGAGACCGCCCCTGGGGAGGAAGCACAAGGGAACCGGGTCGATTGGGCGACTGCTCCTGGAGAAGGAGGTCAAGGGAGCCGGGTCTGTATGGTGACTGCCCCGTGACGAAAGAACCCAAGAAGTTGAAGGAGAAGAGGCCTTTGTGGACTATGAGCCATCCGATGAGGAGGAACGGCGAATGGAGAGGGCATATGAAGAGAGTGAGGACACCGAGGATGTGTTCCACGAGTGTGAAGGTGACATTGAGATTTGGGTGCCACCAGAAGTGCCTGTGGCATCTTCAAGATGGAGACTTTCCGCAAAAAAATCTGGAAGAGTCACACGGGAGGAAGATTGACATACCCTTGACTGTCGACACCTGCAGGAATATTATCCGAAAATAAAACCAATAGGTAGTTTAGTTAGTGGAATAATTACAACATGCTTATATTCAACAAGCATTCCAGTTATTGATTAAAGTTAAACTGAAGGACACAGCCAATCCTACAGTTTAATGATACCCCCGACCCAGGCACAGCGCGCCTTTTCCGCAAGACTTGAGCCAAAATGCAAGGTGACATCAAAATGATGTGCGGCGACCACCAGGGAGGTTGTTTCATGTGTGTATTTTCAACTCCCCCCTCAAGCTGTACATGGTACAGGCCCCGACAGAAGTGCGCTTTCAGCACACTTGATTCCCGGTGTCTATGCAAGGACGGCACACACAACACACGATTTCACCTCAGTTGCAAGCTCATGGTTCACAAACGCATAACTGACGGAGTGCTTCCGGCCAAAACATGGGCGGCATCACCTTTGTAAGTGAGTTCGCAAGCTGAGATTCCGAGGTACAGTTAGTTAATGCTGAACTCTTCTTTGTCGAGCAATTCCTTTACGGATGCGAGACTCACTCGGTGGACTCGGTTTGCTCCACGGAGCTTCACACTGTAGCCGCTGTAGCCAGCCTTGACAACCGTGATTGTTGCTTGGTTGTTCTGCTCGAAAATAATGTCAACATTTGACTCTACCAAGGTCTCAAGCATCAGATGCAGGTGCAAAGTTTCTCCGAACAATGCTCCTGCCAATGCTATCAGCTCGGCTTCTGTGGTGCTTCTTGCAGTTGAACTTTGTTTCTTGCTCTGCCATATGACAGGAAAGCATCCTTGGCCTGCGCGGACGACATAAACAATGCCTGACGTGGATTTCGCAGTGTAAGGGCAAGACGAAAAGTCTGAATCAGTGTATACGTGCATCGAAGGCAGCGCCGCAAGTTCGGCAGTAAGCTTCATCACATGGTCGCATGTGGAATGAAGATAACTGATCAAACGATAGGTCTGACGGTCTTCCCACTGCGTCCAGCGAGTCACACGGCTTGCCAGGCGTTGAACTGCGAATGCAATGTCTGGTCGCGCACGGCGAC